TACTTTTTATGGTTAGTAAGGTTTTTGTTTCAAATTCTTGTTTTTTGTGATTCAGTCATTGTTTGAGATGTACGTGACTCCCAGAAGGCGCATGAAGATCGTGACCTTGCAGGAACACACAGACAAGACCTACAGGGACATAGCAAGAATAGTAGGCGTCAGTCCGGCAACCGTCAGCCGTGTGGTCAAAATGAAAAAGGAAAAGGGAATGCGTTTCGCCAAAACGCAAAGGGAAATGTGGTCCTAAGAGGAAAACCACTGCCAGGGATGACGATTACCTAATACGGGAAAGTGTTAAAGATCCTCGAAAGACTAGTGACGCATTAAAACGTGATTTGGGGGAGAAAGGAATAGAAATCAGTTCTTCAAAGGTTCGCAGGCGACTCCTAGAAGTTGGTCGGAAAGCCAGACGGCCTGTGAAAAAACAACTTCTGACAAAAGTAATGAAAGTTAAGCGTTACAACTGGGGACTACAATACAAAAACTGGACAAAAGAAGATTGGAGAAAAGTCCTATTCAGTGATGAAAGCCATTTCTATGTTCATGGTCAGAGAAGTCAGTATGTTCGGAGGTCAGAGGGAGAAAAGGTTTGTGATTCCCACATTGACCACTTTGTGAAACACCCACAAAAGCAGATGTTTTGGAGGTGCTTTAGTTATTACGGCTTCGGCGCCTTGCATCCAGTCCAGGACATGATGCGCCCTCCACAATATATGGAAGTTATCCAAAGAAGAGCTATTCCAGTACTAAAAAAGACATTTCCTGACGGATCTGGCGTATTTCAACAAGATCTGGCCCCGTGCCACACATCAAAAATGGTCAAGAGTTTTTTCAATACTAATCAAATAACCATCTTGGACTGGCCTGGGAATTCACCAGATTTAAACCCCATTAAAAATATGTGGTCTATTTGCAAGCAACGCCTTCGTGGCATGGACTGTACGACAAAGGAGAAACTTAATCAAGCTTTAATTCAAGTTTGGTACAGGGACCCAAGATGGGCTAAAGTTTGTTCAAATTTAGTGGATTCCATGCCAAACCGTATTAAAATGCTACTCAAAAGTCGAGGAGGTCATGTTATTTCCTGATGTGAGTATATTAGTGTAATCCATTATAACAATTTTGAAAAAAAGGTTTTTCAGTGTTTTTGCAGTTTGTTTCAATTAATGTGCACAAGGATGTATATATATGTACTTTCATTGTGAAAGCGTAGGGCTTAAATTGTTGGTTTCGGATAAGGCGAAATGGCAACATTAGTAGTAGTAGTCTTGCAACATACAGAATCATTATTGCTTCGTCTAAATGTTGACTGAGAGCAACAAATCCGTTACTAAATGCGTGCAATATGAATACACTGAGTGCCAGGTTTACGTCGATTTATTTGACTCTGAAAGCGATTTCTGACTTCAGAACGAGTGAACTTTAACCTCAGAGAGCGAGCGTCGACACTAGTTCGGTTGTGTATTAAGCACTAAGATCTCTGAGAATTCTTCTATCAGTTGTAAAGCGTTAGCTACAGTCAGTCAAGTATCCAATACTGAACCTCAGAATATTTGTGTTTAACGCATAATCCTATTATTTTTAAACTAATCAGCATTTGGTTTGGCTTGCCAATTGAGCAATCCACTCTGGATTTTAGGATAACGTGCTGACCCACAGAATACGAATGGGCATGCTCCGTAGTAAAATACGTGCGTGATGCCACCAATAATTAAGGTTGCAACACCTTGGTTACTTTAGTTAATCTAAGTTATCTATGCTTCGTGGATGGCGTCGGTGTCTTTTAAGACGATTTTCACAAGGCGAACCACTGGTCGCAATTATGGGTTACAACCCTTCAGAATGTACACTTGCAACAGTGCACTGACTTCATGGTTGCCTGAAAGCATTAAATGGAACAATCGTTTAAAACGGGTATAAAAGAAAAATGCTTGACAAGCCTTCTGGGATGGTAAGGACGAAACGAACACGATAAATACACAGTTCCTGTAAAGGAACGCACGGAATACATGACTCAACAATAAGTTAGCAAATGCGTAGCTGTGAGTATTCCTGTTGGGAGTTCGGGGGATTGTGTCACTGTCCACTGTTTGCTCTGCGCTAATTCCATCATCTGATGGTCATGGGCTATACTACGTAGCCTTAATGTGTCAGAGTGTCATCAAGGTGCTTTTTGAAAAGGCATAAGGTAGGAGCATTAATTACATCTGTCTGGACAGCATTCCAATGCCGTGACACTCGGAGGAAGAAAACGTTTCGCCGACATTCCAGTTAGGTGTACTGCATGGTCAACATATACGGTTGCCCCTCAGAGGTACTTTGTGTTGCATTCTAAAAGACAGTGGCCTATAACTTGCAATTTCTTAAGAGCTGATAAATCATTATGTGATCTGCCCGTAGATGACGATAGTGTCCTCTGTACACGTTTGGCTTTCAGCTTGAGTGGGTAGGGAAGGCAGTAAAAACCTCTGACATTCTTCACCTTACTACTTTGTGCTGTAACGATCTCGGTGAGATAGTGTCCAGTAAGAGTTGGTAGGCTCGGATAGTATATTCCGTATGCGGCCTCACGTATGTGCCAAACATTTTCGGAAAATATGAGGCATGGAACTTCCCAAACGCTCTACGAAGGAGGCCGAAGTATGGATTTGCTTTGTGCAATGCTTTTCAGTCTACCTCAAACAACCGAACTCACGTTGCACGGAGACACGGAGACCGAACTCATGAGACGCCGACTTTGGTATTTGTGGTTGTAACCGATAGTTGTGAACATCCTGTTGGCGTTTGCTAGGAATTTTGTACTTAGCGACGTTGAATTGCAGCATATTCTCCTTGGACATTATGTAGAGTTTGTCCGGATTATCTTGTGGGACTGTGTGATCCTCCACTGTAGTGTGAACGCATTATATCTTTAGACAATCAGCGAATAGTTGGAACTATAAATATAGGTTACTTAGGAAAACCAGAGAAAGGCGGGACCCGATTACCGAGCCCTGTGGTACGTCGCACTGGACTTCGCTTGTTTCGGAGATGGTGCCGCAAACCCTCACATTCGGGTGAGGCTAAATGAGGAAGTCACTTATCCGGTTTAGAACGAGCTCTCTGATTCCATAATACTGAAGCTGGTGCAGTAGAATGCAATGCTCCACACGCTCGAATGCTATTGAGAAATCCAGATAGGCGGCATTTACACCTATACCATGATCCAGAGATTTCGTCAAACATACACGAGTTCTCAGCAGGTTAGCAGCACATGATGATTTTGGTGAAAACAGTGATGCTCCGGAGTGGACATATGTTTGCTCTTCAGGTACACCCTGAGCGACTCCGCTATAACGGACCACATGATCTTGGAGATAAACCGAAGTTGTGTTATCGAGCAATAGTTCGCTGGCTCTGCCCAGCTACCACTTTGTACACTAGAGTAATGATTCCGTACTTCCACTTCTTGGGGATGTTCATATCGTTATGACATCGCTGAAAGTGTATTGCTAAATATTCAGCTAAACACCCGGCATTCACTTTCGAGGTCTTCGGGAGAATTCCGTCTGCATCAGGCGAGCTGTATTAGCGCAAGGACATCAGACGCCTTAGTACAGCTGCGGTTGTAAAGGATATGTGCGTAAGGTCTAATGGCGGTATAATTTGCGTAGTCAGGATGTAAGATGATTGTACACTTTGAAAGGTGTGTCCAAGTTGTTGTCCAAAGACAATGACCGCCTTTTGTGCCGTTTATGCTAGCACGAATGTTGTGTTTCATACCAGGAATTCCGCACTTAACCCTGCGTAGTTCGTTAATGTATCAGCTTGGAGTTAGACTAAAATGTTTTCATTAGGTCATGTTGTTTTTTTATTCGCCAGAATGATTTTGTCGCAGAGGTTCCTGTGTTGTATAAGCATTCTAGGTGTCCTCTTTCGGAGAAGCTATGTGGACGATGCAAGCCTAGTCCTTCAATGCTATGCATTCCCAAGTTTTGCTCTTTAGGAACGACTTCATTTTTTCAAACAGTGGGTTTTGATTTTAGATTTGCTTGACCCTTGCCTGTTTAATCTGTTGACGAATTCCCCACAGGCCACATCAGTGGAGAATTCGGTTAAGAAAGCCTAGCTTGTTTCACCCATGAGGTCTGACAAACCATTATGGTTGATCACGGCAGGAAAGCCATGGGTACTTTCTTTAAGGTACTTTGCATAGCATAACTATTTGAACACTGGAGTCGCATGCTTTCTGCAGCCTAAAAGAGTGTACATTGTTATTAAGTCGAGCATAAGTTCCTCGATGGTAAAACGTAGTCCAAGATGGCCGGTTTATTTCCCGTTTTGAAATGCGCTGGAGAAGTGACATGATCGTACAGCTGTGACCCCGCGATACGCTTTTGTAGTTTCACTTTGAATTGCTTACTGAGAGTGACCGAGGTTTCTAGAGCTTGCAGCTTGAAATCTCCTACCAAGAAAAATGGCCAAGATTGTGGCAGTAGGTTCTTCAAAGCGGAGTTTAGAGCCTGATCCATTTCTAAGTGTACAGTGGTAGGCGGTATACACTGGCCACTAAGTATACCTCGCCTTGCTTTAGGCGCAGTCAGCACTCTAAGGCATCCACGGTTTGAATCCCATAGTTGTTTATGCGGTCGATGAGTAGGTCAAAATGGTAGTACAGAATTACGCCACCTCCATTAGCAGGTTGGTCATTGCGCAAGATTGACACCTAGTAGTGCAACCTTGGCGTCCTTGATCATGTCTTCTGAAGGACACGATAAGGTGTCTACACATTGAGGCTTGATGAGTTCGAAGCGAAGCCAATTTACTGATAAGGCCTTGTGTGAGTGGATTGTTGTGTTTTCCTAGCTATGCAATTTGGTTGCAGACGTTTTGTTGCCAAACTAGGCAATATCCTCATTGCAGCCATGGAGGTCTGATTGGCGGAGTCGCGAGTGCTACTGCTCAGAGAACACAACAATCCTCTCATCCACACACTTAGCTACAGATATTCTCAATAATTTTCAAAGGTTTTGTGTGTTTGTATACAAACAATTGGGAGTTAAGAATGCCAGAATCATATCTGAGGATAAACAGCTTTCCTTCGAATTTACGCCAAATGTTGTGGGGTCGGTTGACAATTGTTTTCGGATGTATTTATGGCCTACCGCACAGGGCCGTTTCGGGCTTTTGTACAGAGCATCTGCAAACCTATTCTCCAGAGACGAGTTGCGGCGAATTGCGTGTTCTTCTTCTTCTTCTTCTTCTTCTTCTTCTTCTTCTTCGGATGGCTCGGGTGTTACAATGCACACTGGTTCAAAAGTGAAGACAGCTGGGCTCAGGCACAAATCTCGTTGATTTTGTGTTCCCTCAGCCATTGTTAGCCTGGGTTTGACCGCCTTCATCCACATTTCTGACGACAGTTTGGTGCGTACATTATGTCAACTTTTGTGCACCCATACAACCATCTGTTTGCAGTAAATCATGACTGGCAGCACTGACCACATCCTGTCTGGATGGGTGAAATGGGTAACCTTGCCGTTGAGTTGGCAATCAAGTCTTGGAGAGAGAGGACTTCCGGGATTTAGCTTCACTCTTCCAAGGCATGATCCTTGAATCGCGACTCGTCGGAAGACTGAATTTAGGTAACATCATAGAAAAAGATCGACCACTTTTCGTTTTGCCTGCATTATTCTCTTTCGTCTTGTTACTTTACCCGATGCTCAGTTCAAGGGATGTCAGGGAAAACATAAACATCGCAGGAAGAATTACGGAAACGGTGCGCTGCTGGATGGTGTTGTACCAGCGGGACGTTATACAAGTGACCAGTCTTGGGCATGAACACAGCCACCATCTACTTGCTCACACTGCGCTCATGCCGGAATTTCTGAGGCGGCACCCCACCAACGGCCGTTCACTGGGCTTATTGTTTCTTGGACTCTAGGTAGAAACTGTACACTCAGGTATCATGACCAGTGAGGATCTCCTAAACAGCATTGGGACGTACAGCATCAATAGTTGCAGGTATGGTGCGGCACCAACTTACCCGAGCTGCTTTCTGTTTCTTACTGAGCTGATGGGGCACTCTGCGTACGCAAACCTTTCAGAAGCCGAGATTCTTAGGTAGAATGATGTGGATTGATCCAGCTTGGGTTCCGGTAGCTCTCCCAAGCTGTAGCCCAGTCACCCGTGAGTCCTCCTCTAGCATCGATTGCAAAACAGCAATGTTGTCCACGGTGGTGACCTCCATAGGTCATCCTCACCGTGCTTCTTCCTCCAAGGACCGCTTGCCAAGCTTGCATTCTGCAAAATACTCAAACACAGTGGTTCTTGAAAGCGCAACATCACCAAACGCAGTGCGCAATCGCTCAACACTCTGATGTCGCTTCAAGTCACGATTGTATTCATAGAAGATCATCGCCCTTCGATGAGATTGACTGAGTTCCATACTTACATTCAGTGTATAGTGGTGATTCCCAACCTTTTTGAGGCCGTTACCCCCAAAGCGGGTTCACTTTAAGCAGTTACCCCCAAAATTTCTAAAGCCAATTAGATAGCAACTACCGCATTTTTTCTTTAAATTACAGTAAATGAATACCATATGTAATTACTTTCGATCCTGAAAATCAATGAGATTTCCATTGTATTGCGAAGAAAATCCATGTTTCTTTCATTAAGTACTGCGTTCAAAGTATTCTTGCTGATGTTCTGAAAGCGACTTTGATGGTGCTGTTAGAAAGCGATATCACACTTATCCTTAACACAAGCTACTGTACACCGGCGGTTCTTAACATTTTTGAGGCTCTCACAAATGGGGTTTGCTATAATCAACCCGCCCCCCAATTTCCGTTTCAAACGCTAATTGACGAATAACTGTCGCGCTGTTTGCTTCTAAGTACGGGAACTGATAGCTATTTGGAATAACTCTCGATCAACAAAGGAAAGGAAACAGTTGTTTGGTACAACATTGTGTGTAATCAAGAGGCGATATACATTAATGGGACGGTTGATATTACTTAGTGCTAACAATTTCTGATATATTTGGTTCAGTTTCTGCTAATGCGCATCGGAACTCGTGCTCCATGTTCATTCGATTCTTTGTTTTTGTTTTCATTGAAACCATTGTCGAAAATCCACTTTCACATCTATAAGTTGTCGCAAACGGGATCAATATTCTCAATGGTCTTTCCGATAACAATGGATACTCACCACCTACTTTTATGCAAAATGCTACCAGTGGTGTGCTTTGGAAATCTATTTTTAATTCGTTATATTCGCGCATTCCTAAGAATTGTGCTTTGGCTTCGATTGCAATATCCGGAAAGATTTCCTCATCCACTGAAAAGGGTCTTAGCACCTAGGCATTTACTTGGTGATATTCCAAATCAGGAAATTATTTGCTGGTGGAATGGACCACTGATGACAAGTGGCAAGTTATATCATCTGTGAAAGTGCATGTTTCATTTCTTCCAGCTAGCACCATTGATAGTTCTGGAAACATCGACACATCGTCAACCGTTGCTCTGCGTTGGTGAAGCTGCATTTTACGAAGAAAACTGGCAACCTTATCCTGAACAGTTAAAAAAGTAACCAAATTTGTTTTAGCAAGCTGGGGTTCAGTGCATTTATTTCTCCGAAGAAACCTGCAAGATATGCTAGGTTGGAAATAAATACGTCTGTTATCATAACGTGTAACCCGTTCACTTACCCTTATGCAGCAACTTTCTTTCAAGAAAAATTGCAATTTCTTCTCGAAGCTCGAGCACTCGGTCCGACACCGTGCCGTGATAAGCGACGCTCTTCTCAGTGCAATCATAACACGTCAAATTTGCCTCCAAATTCATTGCACAACTCTTTGAAAACACTTGTATTTGTCGCACTACCGCGGATGACATTTACTATTTTCACTATGTTGGTTAACATGTCCAGCAAAACAGGCGGAAGAGTTTTCACCGCTAAAGCATAACGATGTATTATGCAGTGGTTGTAGTTACAGTGCAGAGTAAACTTTTTGACTAACGTTTGGAATCCAGAACGGACGCCCAACATGGATGGTGCTCCGTCTGTACATACTCGCACCAAACTCGACAACTGTAGGTCATTTTCCACAATAAAATCCGTCATTGTTCGAAAGATATCTTCGCCACGTGTTGTCGTGCTCAATGATTCTGCGAACAAGTACTTCTTTGAAGTGGTCGCCTTTTATGTACCAAACATATATCAGTAGCTGGGAACAGGATGCAACGTCGGTCGACTCATCTAACTGTGTTGCGAAGAAAGGACCTGACTTTATTCCGTTGAGCACCTTATTCAAAATATTCTTGCTCATATCTTCGATACGACTATTGATTGTGTTGTTAGAAAGTGATATCATGCTTATCTTTTCTGCATGTTGCTCTCCAAGAACGAACTGCACGGCATCCAGTATGCGAGGTTTTATGAGATCCTCTCCTATAGTATGCGGTTTCTTGTTTTTGACGATTTAGAGAGCGATGTGGTACGACGCTTCAAGACCAGCTTCAGTTGACTGGATAAAGGAGCCCGATGTATCCAGGCGCGAACTTTTGAGCGTAGCTTCTTTCCGTTTGAAGAATGTAATATCTTTTCCTACAAACTGAGAATGATTTCGATCAAAGTGCTCTTTGTTGTTTAAATATCGCCAAATTGGGAGTAGAGACGACATAATTAGGGAGGGCGTTCCAAGGCTGACACATGCGGAGGGAAAAGAAATGTATACAGCATTCAAGTCGGCTATAAGCTCATTATTGTCGATAACAAAACCATTGAGTTAAATCACTCATCCGCTATGGTTTCTTGTCAAAAACAACCGTAGATGAATGTGATCAACCCAGCACCCCATGGGTTCCTGGCCTCCAATCCGCTGATTCTGCTTTTTTATGACCCAAAACGCGGTGTTCTGCGCACTTTCAAACGCCTGCTGTAATCTCCATTCAAGGCATCGTATAGCCCTTCCGTATGTGATTCATGATCAAACATGAACAGTTATCAGTGCCTTCTCACGTGTTGCATTCCTCCATTCCAAGTCATTCCTGCATGATGACACCACCACTCTGTATCGATGCGTGGTGAACACTAATCGCCCGCTTTGACCCTTCTGAGGTGGAGACCATCGCGTGTCACCTTGCCTGGTCGTCTGACCAAGGCTCAACTACTATACCTTTTTCCATTAAAGTTGGCCATTCGGGCAAAACATTTAGGCCTGGGGGTCAACAGGGTTGCTCCTCCGGGGCAATCATTTTGAGTCTTCGGTATGCGGAAATGAACCACTCTCTGGCTTTGTAGGGGATGTTTCATTGCAATCGACTCCTTAATTCGACTGGCGAACGACTGCCTGACGATTGTTTCGGGAACCGATAGAGGCGTCGTACGGTTGAAATGACTAATGACTGGTCACTTATGGCTAATCCGAAGTGCATAGGTAGTTAACGACATATTTTGATAGGGATGCTTTTGTTATTAAATTTGTTTAGCGACCGATTGATGACCCAATCTTCATGTTAATATTTATCCTCCGAAAAATGCCATTTTACCCCTTTGGGGGTAATTACCCCCAGATTGGGAACGCATAGTGTATAGCGACCCTTATCACTTGTGTGGCATGTTGGGCTGCCGATATAACGTTCTGTGAATCGAAATCACTGAACGATGTTCAGAATGGATTACGGCTCACATTTTTTGCCAGATCACCTGCATCTAATCGGTGTACCGCCTACCTGGAAACTTGTTGCCTAGCCCCCACAAATGTGGTGAAAGTGACCACAATGGAATAAGCACGGGGATAGCTGAGAAGAAGGTTTGCACAAGTGTGACACCAAGCAAACGTCTTATTGCTCATATAGAGTAACATTAAATTACTCAAACCTTAGATCATCCTACTATTTTGCTCTTTAGATTTGGTATCGAAAAATCCGCGGTACTAAATCGCCGTCCCCCATTGCTACGCCTCTAGAAACAGATGTCGAACGGGTTAATCGGGGAACATTTATTTTCGGCAAAGGGGTGTGTGACTTGAGAAATAAGCAGTACAGCAACTTTCCAAGATGCGACGAATGCCCCGACATAATATTATGCAAATAGCTCAATCAAAACTAGAGGAACTCGGTCAAGGACCGAACGCCCAGTACGTGCCTCTGTTTGTGTTGTTTTGGTGATTGTGTTTGGTAAACACCACCTCGTATACCAACAGCATACACACGTATGTTTCCTAGGTTAGTGGAAATTCACAGATCGGAAATATCCAAGCTCGAGAGTCCCAATGATAACAGGTGTTTTGCTGACTCCCCCGATGGATAAACCCTCTATTGTTTAAGATGAGCGGATAATGTACAAAGGAAGAGTTTTCCGATAGTGCCGTTTG